AGTGCGGCACCCGATCGGCGATAGCGCATACAGCACAGAAATCCTGGGCTAAGCGATCCTCCTGCCTCAGCTCCCGGGTAGCTGAGACTACAGGCGCGCGCCACGCGTCCGGCAAGGAAGACGCGGGCAACTGAGTTCTTCTGACAGTGCTTTAATGGGTTCCTTTGATCTTACATGTGGAACCGCAGCCGAGCACACGCGCAGGCTGCGTGGTATATACCCACAAGCACAACCTAAGCTGGGATAGGACGCTCAGCTGTCGAGCCACCAAAGCATTAGTCCATAGCAGGACCTTCGTTTGCATGCTTGGTGCCACAGGGCAACCGACAATTGCGCGTGCGCTAGATTGTTTATGCTCTAGGCAAAGCCGGAAACAGGTGCCATCTTGTAATGGCGTTGACACCGCGCCCCACAAGTTGAAAGGCTATAATAAACTCATCTAATTTCTAGCTTTTGCTTACATTTAAAAAAATGAAGAGGCTAAATTTTATTAGGTTTAATATTGGATCAGATTTAAATTATTTTTAAGGTACCCAATGCAATTAAGATATCACACCTAATTTTTATATATATATATATATATATGTATGTGTGTGTGAAATCATCTTTCTAACTTTTTTTTCTATTGACTCCTTTGTCTTGGTTCTTAGAGATGACTTATATTCAAAATAGAGGGGGAAAATTACAAAGTATTAACACTAAGCAAAGTGATATGTATGATTTTGATTACAGCTAGATTGAAAGATAAACTAGTTATTTTAAGAAATCAGACGAATGAGTACTAATGCTTTATATTAGCACTTTACTGTTTTGAAAAGTCACATTTGATCATTCATTTGATTCTTTGAAAATCCTTTGAGATGGGCCAGGCGCGGTGGCTCACGCCTGTAATCCTAGCTCTTGGGAGGCCGAGGCGGGCGGATTGCTCAAGGTCAGGAGTTCAAAACCAGCCTGAGCAAGAGCAAGACCCCGTCTCTAACTATAATAGAAGAAATTAATTGGCCAACTGATATATATATTAAAAAAAAATTAGCTGGGCATGGTGGCACATGCCTGTAGTCCCAGCTACTCGGGAGGCTGAGGCAGAAGGATCGCTCCAGCCCAGGAGTTTGAGGTTGCTGTGAGCTAGGCTGACGCCACGGCGTCAGCCTAGCTGGGCAACAACTCACTCTAGCCTGGGCAACAAAGCGAGACTCTGTCTCAAAAAAAAAAAAAATCCTTTGAGACAAGCACACTCATTTTACAAAATAGCCAACAAAGTCTGGCTCAGATAATAGGACCATGATTCATGTCCAGGTCCTCTGACTCTCAAGTTTTGTGCTCAGTCTATTTTTTTTTTTTCCAGTCAGGTGCCTGTTCAAAAAAATCTGACTTAGTCATGAAATATGCAAATAACTTTACAAGGAGTATGACTCATTTAAAGATGTGGCACAATTAACTTTAAGATGTTCTCTGAAGACATTATTATAGGGTACTGTCATTAATCACAAATAAACTGTAAAATTATGATGTGCTGATTTGTTTTAGTCAGTTGCAGTTATGTTCAATTTTGGTTTTAAATCAAATGTTGAAGACCATGGCACCATCTCTAGGTGTTTCATAGAAGAGACTCTGATAGGTCGAGTTTTACTGTGTCAAACATTTTGAGTAATTCTTTCTCCAAACTAAACTAAATCTCAATTGCTTTATTGCTTAACTTCAAATTGCCCCCCCTTTTTAACTTCCAAAGAATTATTTTGGCATGTGAGATTATTTCACGGGAATATTGTATTTGGCTTAAAACCTACTTCTAAATAACCATATTTTGCCTGCCCATATAAATACAGTTCTGATTTCAAATTGTGGTTTGAATTAGAGTTCAGTTTTTGTAGAGAAATATTCAGAATCTCTCATGGGAGGAGAACAAGGGTGCCTGGAGAAAAAGAGGCATCTGGTAGGGACCTTTGAAGTGGGTGTTTGACATTCCTTTCTTTTCCAAACCTTTCGTAGTTAATATCATCCTTCTAGCCCCTTCCCCTAGATTCTGAGTTTTTTTCTTAGACACAAATGTCAGAATACATTTAAACCACTACTCGAATTTGAAACAGCCCTTTGCATTATAATATCACATTAGCTCAGGGACCAACTATATATTCTGATAGTGAGTTTAAGAAATTTTACCTTGTTGTCATTTTGGTCTTAAGGATGTTTTGACTCCATGTTTCTAAATACAGAGATTTTAATCAAAATTATACCAATCTTAGTTTTCATCAAGAAAATATTTTTGATTTGAACTTTTAACACTGATTTCTTCATTAGTTTTTCATATAGCAAAATTAAAATGTTCTAACTTATTTTACTAAAATAATTTTTATCGGAATCAACCCTGCTTTGTGATTTTTACTCTGAAGATGTCTATATATCATTTAGTTTTGTCTTTTTTTAAAAAAATAAACAGTGTTGTATAGTGTTTATATCCTGACTATGTTTTAAGATAGTGCTGTCCAATAGAAATACACTATGAGCCACATATAATTTTAAATTTTTTAGTAGCCATGTTAAAACAGTAAAAAGATAAAGGTGACATTAATTTTGATAATATATTTTATTAAACCCAGTATACCTAAATTACTATCATTTTGCCATGTAATCAGTATCAAACCTATTAATTTTAGAGGAAAATAGGTAGGAGAAGGGTAACTTTCAGAGAAAGGGAAGGTGAGGATAGGGTAGGTAACAGGCAAGTTTGACCTATGTTTCTCTGCCACCTTTTTATAGTCGTGGGGAGGAGTGCTGGCTTCTACTTTAGCTTGTGTGTGAGGTGGTTAAGTCAGAACAGTGACAAGAAATTAATTTATTTGCTTTTCTTCCTCTAAATAGTTGAGAGTTCTATTCACATCCAGAATGTAATGCTAGAAAAGACTCAGATAACATAATGTGCTCATAGTATACATGTACACATTAATAATCTAAAATGCCTTTTACTGACTCAGACTTTAGTAATAGTCCTGTTCTTTCTCTTCCTTTCTCTTTTTTTCCTCTTCTCTTCTCCCCCTCTCTCATGTCCAAGTTTAAATTCATTATTGGAAAGACAGGAAAGGAAAAGTTCGTAGGAGATTTTCCAAGCACAAACCTTGCTTTTATAATATGGTTATGGCAACCATCTCTATTTTGGTAAAGTTGGCCTATAATATGAATGACATTTTGCAATTTAGATTTTTACAATTTTGAAAAACCACAAGCCATTGCGAACAGTTAAACTAGATGTTTTATATATGCATTTAGTACCATAAATCAGAATTTTAGGCATTGTACAGAAGTGTTACACAGGATAGAATCGAATACACAGGATAGAATCGAATACACAGGATAGAATCGAAACATAAAACAGACCTGGCCTAATCTGAAAGGTTCAGAGGAAAATTCTTCAAGGAATTGAGTTGGGAATAGAGACATGAAGGGTAAATAGGAGTTACTAGGCTGTACTGATGGAAAAAAGCTTTCCAGGCAGAAGAAAAAACATTGCATAATTCTTGCAGTGGGAATTGAGAATCCAGAAATATACCATACATTTATGGTCAATCAATTTCAACAAAAGTGCCAAAAGAATACTTTTCTTTACCATATAGTGTTAGAACAAGCGGTCTCAACAGCGTGCAAAATAATGAAGCTGACCCCTACCCCTACCTCATGCCATGCACAAAAAGTAACTCAAAATGGATCATAAACCTAAATTTTAGAGTTAAAACTGTAAAACTCTTACAAGGAAACATAGGAGTAAATCTTCGTGATGTTGGGTTAGGTAATGGTTTCTTAGATAGGATACCAAAAGCACAAGCAACAAAAGAAAAAATAAGTTGGAATTCATCAAAAAGTAAAACTTTTGTGCTTCAAAGGATACCGTTAAGAAAGTAAAATGACAGTATACAGAATGAAAAAAATTATTTGCAAGTCATATATATCTGATGAGAACTTGTATCCAGCTACTATTAGGAAAATGCAGCATAACTCAAAGAAAGATTTGTGGTTGTGGAAAGAGGTCAAAATCTAGTGTTAGGCTGTATTTCTTGATTTGAAAAGTAGAACTCTGCTGCAAAGCAGTCTCATTTTCATTTCCTTCAGAATAAAAACTTATGATCTAGCTTGAATTTAGTAAACATCTCTTTCAGCTCAAACTATCCATTGATAGTTTGATATCCTGTTACTGAGGTAACAGGTATAAATTCCATGCTTAACTAACAGTTCCTTCGTCCATGAATCCTAACCCTGTGGCATGGTTGAAATTATGAACAGTGCCTATTCTAGACTTTGGATTATTCTAGTCCAAATTCTAGGCTTTGCCTTTAATACTGCTTAAATGCCAACTATTTCACCAAGACTTTACACATCTTGCTTCCTTTTTAAATAATAGTTTAAAAATAAAATACTTTAAGCATCCTTTCAAATCATTCATAAGCTATAATAATTGATTAGTGTATTAGAGCCAAGGACCTGAATTGTATTTTACAATTCCCTTACCCTAGAATACTTTGCCCTATGGGCTGCATCCTGAGCCATGGTCTTAGTTGTGTTAGATACTCTTAGCTCACCAAAAACAGAAAACAGAGTCCAGCCAGGAAAATAAGAAGGAAAATTTAAAATTGTCCTTTCCATTCCCTTCCATTAAATAAGAATGGCTCTGGAAATGTTTCATGCAAGGAAGCAGTGATGAAAATCTTTTTGCTGTTAAATCTCTAGAGGATGAAAATCTTCTTTGGTTTTTAAATGTTCTATTAAAGAATTGATTACTTTATTGAAGGTAAGCCATGTGAATTATTGCATACTCTGGCTTCTAGGTAATTTCTGTATCAAAGAGTCTAGTTCTCTGGACAAACGAAGAGATGGAAGTAATTAACTATTCCCAACTAGAATAAGTGCTTATATTCAAAGTTCATAGAAAAGATCCCATAAATCTCATTATATCTTCATCCAGATTATTTAAATCAGTTAATGGCTATCTTTATTCACATATTTTAAAACAGATGAGCTCCGACAAGAAATGCTGGATGATGTACAAAAGAAATTGATGAACTTAGTAAACAGCACAGAAGGAAAAGTGGACAAGTATGCTTCTTCCTTTTAATTTTTATATATTTTATGGAAATTGCTTTTATGGTAAAAACAACTTCTACATGTAGATGTTTATATGTGATTCAGTTTTTTAAAATCTTTTCTTTTTCTTAAATAGCTGTAGGTAGTTTTAATGAGGACTCAATAGAATAACTTCTTTTGTTTTTTAAAGTTGAGTTTCCCCAGCTAATTCTTTTTCTTAAAACCATGTGAAAGAGTTAAAACATCATCCCAATATGAAGTACTTGGAAAATAAAAAGTTTATTTTTACCTTTCTGTTTTGGTCCCTTTACAGTCCTTAAATGAACATACGCTTGCTCAAATGTATTAGTTCTGAAACCTGGGTATATATGCAACAATATCTCACTTAATATTTTAAAAATTTAGGTATTATTAACAAATTCTCAATAAATGTGAATGGGGAAATATCAGCATAACATTAATCACAAAAACATTTGTCACCACTTGAGTGTCTGCTTCAGATGAACATCAGCCCACAGGCACTAAGAATTAATAATGAGGTACCCCCTCAGTGCCTTAATTATTGGGTTGAAGAAAGTAGATAGCTAATAAGTGATGTTTTAGAAGGTATACATTTTGGGTTGTTTGAAATATTCTTAGACTTTTCATTTTTTTAAAAGTCTCTAAAATATTTTACTGTTTAGTCTTTTTTATAATTAAATGTTTGCTTTTTGTAATTAAATATTTACATGTCTTGTTTGGGTACACTCAATGTTGAGTTAGCTTGAGCTGTTTCTACCTTTATTTTCATAGAGTCCTAATGAGAAACCTCTTCATTGGACATTTTCACACACCAAAAAATCAGCGTCATGAAGTGTTACGATTAATGGGAAGCATCCTGGGTGTCAAAAGGGAAGAAATGGAGCAGGTAACTGGACTGTGAAAGACATTCTGAATTTATTGATAACTAAAATAGTGGCATTGTAGAAAAGTGTTTTCCTTTTACTGTATATAAACTTTACTGAATATAATTTTCTCAATACTGTGGAAATGGAATCATTTTATACTACATTGAAGAGGTGGATTGTTCAATTTGTATGATATTAGTTTAAATGTTTTGTAATTTACAAACCACTCTCATATCAGGATGCTGAAATTTTGAGATATGGCACCTCAAAACTTTTATTTGAGATTGTGCCTGAAGTTGCACTTGATTGTATTTGTAGCTTCTATCTGTAGGAAACATTTACTAGGAATTGGACTTGGAAAGCATACTTTGCTACTGTCTGAAATCATGTGAAAGTGGTTCTTATTTTTTTCTTTTCTTGTATTGATATTTTTCTGTTTTAAAATAATCTTTCAGTTGTTTAATGAAGATCGGGGCGGTGTTACCAGGTGGATGACTGGGTGGCTTGGAGGAGGATCAAAAAGTGTCCCCAACACACCTTTGAGACCAAATCAGCAGTCTGTGTTTAATAGTGTAAGAACCGATTTTATTCTTGCTTTATTGTGTATTCTTTATTATGTGTATCTGATTCAGTTGCAAAGAACCAGATTTCTTTTTTACATTATTTTATATAGCCTTTTTATTTTAGTTTTATTTCAGAGTTATGGAAGCTGTGAGATCCAGAGAGGTGAACTTAAGGATTACAAGCCAGTTTTAATAATTGTATTGCATATAGATTTTATTTTAATTTTTTATATGATACTTTTATATTCAGGGTATTAACTGTTGTTTTCTTTGTGCTTGATCATGCTGCCATAAGCAGTATTGCTACTAAATTATGAGAGTCTTGAAGATAGAGGCTTTACTTTACTCATGTATGTATGTTCCAAGTAATTGAGCCAGTGAATATTTTTTGAGCACCTGCTGTGTGCCAGACTGTTCTAGGCATTGAGGATACAACTGCAAACCAGATAGATAAGGTGCCCACCCTCAAGGAACTAACATTCTAATGAGAGACAGCAGCTAATAAACATGAAAACACAGTGTCTGGTATGTAGTAGGCTTTAGATAAATAATTACTACTCGATTAATGAATCGAGTAGTACTGTGAGTAGAATATGGAGTTTCTTTTATTTTTTAATAAAGAGGATACTGAGAATAGGTGACTTACCCAGAGCTGATCAAAGATAAAACCCTGTTTTACTTGGATGGCATAAAATTTAACTTAAAGGGAAGGTCTACACTACATTATTTTAATCTGGTAATGTTACTAATAATCTTTTGCTATATTCATCATTGGGTCTTATTAATAGTTTAGAAAATTATGTTTAATGCGTGTTTTCCTTCAATATGATTTTTCATGTCTATTTTAATAGTTAAAATGATAACTTGTGATGTCTTAAGTGCTGTTCATTGATGGCAAGAAAAATAAATGTTATCAGTTAGCTAAGTCTGAGGTATTTGAAATGAGTGTTGTCATCAAAGATTATTGATTGAATTGTTGGCCAGGCACAGTGGCTTACGCCTATAATCCCAGCACTTTGGGAGGCTGAGGTGGGAGGATAGCTTGAGGCCATGAGTCCAAGACCATCCTGGGCAACATAGTGAGACCCCCTCTCTACAAAAAAAATTACTTTTGGGGGTATGGTGGCACATACTGGAAGTCCCAGCTACTTGGGAGGCTAAGATGGGAGAATTGCTTGAAGCTGGAGGTTGTAGTTAGCTATGATGGTACCACTGCACTCCAGCCTAGGCAACGGAGCAAGGCCTGCCTCTTTAAAAGAAAAATCTTTGTAATGATAATTATGTAACTAAAATGCTAGTATTATCAATTTTTCATAAGGCCAATCTGTAAAAAATGATTCAAATGACATGATTAGTTTTTAATATTTAATTACAACAGCTGTTATATTTTCTTAGTTGTAGTGAATATAATTTTATTAACTAGCGTAAAATAACCAAAATATTTTTTCTTAGTCTTTTTCAGAACTTTTTGTTAAATTTCTGGAAACAGAATCTCATCCATCTGTTCCACCACTAAAGCTTTCTGTTCATGATATGAAACCTCTAGATTCACCAGGAAGGAGAAAACTGGATACAAATGTGCCAGAAAGTTTTAAAGGTAAAACTAGATATTAATTTTTTCCTACAATTAAAAAAATGGAATGTTTAATTTATGACTATGTTTTACAGTGATATTAACTAAATATTTAGTGTTTTTGAAAATGTATACTGCTTTCAAAATTCCAAAAAGGCATCAGAGTTTGGCTTCATATGTTCTTGTAGCAATCTGATACTTAATTGGCTTAGATTAATTTAAACCATGTGCAGTTTTTTCCCTTTGTGTATCAGAATAACTCTCTCTGCATAAGCCACTTTGAGTTATTCTTCTGGAAGTGGTGGTGAATCGGCTAAACCTTTGCTTGGCCACCTGTTTTCCTTTCTGACTAATGGTGCTCATTGCTAAACAGAGTTAGATGTGTAATTTATAGTGTGAGAAGAGTTTTTTCCACCTTTGAAAATCTAAGCTTTACACTCAGTAACCAAACCTTGGCATGTTAATATATAAGCACAGTTAAGTAAACTAAGACCTCCAAGAATGTTAGGAAGTGCCCTTATATGTTGAAAGGTCTGCCTGGAAGTGAATGTCTGGTGGTTGTAAACATGTGTATATATTCTTCTGTCCCGGTAGGTTGTTAGGGATTTTATTTATATTCATTATTATACACTAGTATGCAATAAAGTTTCTTGAGTTCAAACTAAATTATAATCCATTAGACTATAAACAAATTGTATATTGGAAGATCTCTTTTCTGAAATTATTATATTTTAATATAGACTAACATGTTTGTAAGTTGCACTGTAAAGGTATATGTTATTGGCCGGGTGTGGTGGCTTAAGCCTGTAATCCTAGCATTTTGGGAGACTGAGGCAAGCGGATTGCTCGAGGCCAGACTGTGGAACACAGTGACACCCTGTCTCGGCAAAAAACAAACAAAAAAAATTAGCTGGCCATCGTGGTGTACCCCTAAAGTCCCAGCTACTCAGGATGCTGAGACAGGAGGATCACTTGAGCTCAGGAGTTTGAGGCTACAGTGAGCTATAATGATGCCACCATACTCCAGCCTGGGTGACAGAGTGAGATTTTATCTCAAAAAAACGAAAAGAAAAAGTATATGTTGTTATATACTCAAGTTTATATTATAAGTCAGATACTTAAATTTGGATGAAATAGTAAAGGATTTACATTTTGAAATTTTAGGAACTTCCTGTTATTTAGACAAATATTTCCATTTTTCTGGACTTTTACAGGAAGAGAAAATAGGAAAATTTATCTGTTCTTTAGATAATAGTTTTACCTGCTAAATTTAGTGAAAAGTTGTAACTTTATGTAAGAGGTGTAGGGTATACTGAGAAATTTTTTTCTTGTTACACTAGGTTGTAGCATCTGAAGCAGACTCCTAAATTCACCATGGCAGGCTCTTCCCTCCCTCCCTGTATCCTCTCCTTCCCTTCCCCTTCTCCATTCTTTCCTGTCCCTCCCTCCTCTTCTTTCTCCCTCTCTTCTCCTTCTTCCTCTCCCGTTCTCCCTCCCCTTTTCTTTTATTTTTCTTTCTTTCTTCCTTTTTTTTTTTTTTTTTTTAAAGAGACAGGCCCTCACTCTACTGCCCAGGCTGGAGTGCAGTGACCAGATCATAGCTTACTGCAGCCTCCTCCTGGGCTCAAATAATCCTCCACCTCAGACTCCCAGGTAACTGGGACTACAGGCAAGTGCCACCACATCCAGCTACCTCCTTTCTTTTATTAAGTCCAATGCCTGCTTGATTTGTATTGATCAGAGATAAAAGCCATTGATGGTCTGAGTTGATACAGGGTTTGCATGGGGAAGAAAGCAAGCTGCTTAGGCTTTAATCCTGGATTTTGAAGTGTGTCAGAGCTTACTAGGAACACCAGAAGCTTGTCCAGAGTTCGGAAAGTTGTCATTCACAGGATAGTACAGCTTGGGAACCCTAGGAGTGCTCCATGATAAATAGATTTGGTGAATTTGTCTCAGTGCTTTTCTTTGTTTTAGGAGACCTCTTTTATTTGAGTTTCTCATTGTTGAAGTGGGCACCTTCAAAGAGTTGTCTCTCTCTTACCAATGAAGTTGTTAATGGTCTTGGATAATAAAGTAGAATCTATCCACTAAGATATTAGCTCATAAACCAGATACCTATTCCAATTAAAATGAATTTTAGCAGCCCAACTTAACAGAAAAATAACCTAATAGAGAATTGTTTCCAAATCTTTGAATGCCTAAAACATAGTCAGTTAATGTAGGCATATATTATTTTTTCTTCTGGTAAATTAGTATTTATTCTAATTGTTATCATTGTGATATGGGTTTATTTTTCATGACCATTATAATTATTTGGGGGAAACTTAAGTCCTCAAGTCCTTCATCTTTCAGGTGGGTAAGTAAAGAGTTTGCCTTGAAACATAGACAACACCTTTTAAAAAGTGGTTATTGGCTGGGTGTGGTGGCTCACGCCTGTAATCCTAGCACTCTGGGAGGCCAAGGTGGGAGGATCGCTCAAGGTCAGGAGTTTGATACCAGCCTGAGCAAGAGCGAGACTCCGTCTCTACTAAGAAAAAGATAGAAAGAAATTAATTGACCGACTAAAAATATATAGAAAAAATTAGCCAGGCATGGTGGCACATTCCTGTAGTCCCAGCTACTCGGGAGGCTGAGGCAGAAAGATTGCTTGAGCCCAGGAGTTTGAGGTTGGTGTGAGCTAAACTGACCCCACAGCACTCTAGCCCAGGCAACAGAGTGAGATTCTGACTCAAAAAAAAAAAAAAAAGTAGTTATTATAGTAAATGAAGTTTATCAGTTAAGTAACTGGTAGTTAAATATAAAACAATAGTATTCATGTATTTAATTAGGTATTATATATGAAAATACTCTTCTTAACCCCATTCTTTTTCTTTCCTCTTATTTCTTCCATCCTTCTGTATTTCATATACCTTGCTTGTGGGATACAGAATCTTACAGCATATGAATTAAATTCATTTGGAGGCCAAATCTGGGAACCTAAAACACAAATACAGCATTGTTTTTATCAGAAAATGTTTGGAATTACCAAGTGTGAACTTTAATCAGATTTTAGTGATACACATTAGTATTTGTGTTTAGGAAATAAGACTTATTTGTGCTCTCAGTTTGAATAATTAAAGGATAGCCAAAAAAAAAAAAGTGCTAATCCCAGTGTTAACTACCAGTAAGATTGAATTTTAAAGTTGATAGTAGTGGTGAATTGATTATTCATATATGTCTATGTTAATCAACTTAACAATATAGAGAGAACTTTCTTTATGCTATTACTTATGTTCAGAGGGTTATTTCATTTCCAATTCTTTGTGAAGGACAGGAGACTAAGGAATCCATATTTTATCACTTAGATACAACGGAATCCAGGTCTGGTAGAAGAGCAGATGTAAATCCATTCCTGGCTCCCCGCTCTGCAGCTGTGCCTCTTATTAACCCAGCTGGACTTGGACCTGGTGGGCCTGGGCATCTTCTTTTGAAACCCATCTCAGATGTTTTGCCCACGTTTACACCTTTGCCAGTGTCCCCTGACAACAGCGCTGGAGTTGTGTTGAAAGACCTTTTAAAGCAATAGATGATTCTCACGCCGAAGAGATAGCACTTTAAAGAAACCATGAACACTATGTGTATGTACTTTATCACAAAGTGGCCTTTTGGAAAAAGTCGTGTATTTGTTTGCAGCTATACTTTCTCTGAATTTAATAAAAATATTCTTAATGCTTTTAGAAATTACAGGTGTCAGAGGAGCAAGTGTTTGCTGTATAATCTGCTTTTTTCTTACTGATTTGACCTAATTTAAGTTAGGAACATTTGATTTATCTTTTATCCTAATTTGCAAAAATAAAGACAGACAAAAGTACTAGTAGCTATATATCAGCTTTTTATTTCTTTCTGTGATTTTCAAGCTCATTTAAGCTAGAGACATGCGGTTTATCTTTTAAAGGTAATCAAGAGTTTTTATCGAAGAAAAAAATACTAGTGGTAACTTTTCTGCATTATGCAGAAAATCAATCTGAAACATATATTAATCTTTAGAGAGCTTTGTATAGACAGGCCAAGAACAAGATTGTCCCTGGGAGGTCACAGGTGCCTTGAGATGAAATGTGTGTTTGGTTCTATGCAGTGTTCTCACATGCGCAGGTCCCTGTGGACACCACCTCCATCCAGATGCAGAGCGCTTCCATCACAAGGGTCCTGCGTGCTGCCCTTTTATGATCGTAACCACCTCTCTCCCTGCCCCTTGCCTTAATCTCTGGCAACCATTAGCTATTCTCCATCTCTATAATTTTGTTATTTTGAGAATGCTATATAAATAGAATCATATAGCACATAATATCTTGAAATTGGCTTTTTTTCACGCAGCATGATTCTCTTGAGATCCATGCAAGTTGTTACATTTGTCAATAGTTTGTTCCTTCTTATTGTTGAATATATATATAGTACAAATATATAATTTAGTTTTAAGAGTGAAGGTATCTGTTTAAAGATACCATCTTAAAACTAAATGTTTCCTCACTCAAATACAACTTTCATATACGTGTTAAATCGTGCAGCCAGTGCACCTACATAACTATAATTAGCAATATCAGTACACATGCCACCTCCTGCCTCTGTCTGAGGTGTTGATACTTGGTACAGCAGTCCTGGAGTCGTCTGTCCCCATTATGGTGGTCACTGAGGGCAGTGAAATCACTTTGACAGTGATAGCACCAGGTTTTTGAAACTTAAGAGTAAGATAGTATTTCTTAATGTTTTATAAACCTGTCATATATAATAAATCCTGACTTGAAACTTAATTGTATGAGGATGCTCATATTTGTATTAGTTGGTTGAAGTTGTACATTTAAAAAGGTAATTCTTGCAAATTTTGTATATTTCGATATGCCTTTAAAATGGAAACATTTGTATAACAAGGAAAGGTGAAAATGAGACTAATCCGAATATGTAAATAGGCCTGGCTCAGCCCAGAGCTAAAATTTGGTTGTTAGTTTGGCTGTAATTAACTGTATACTTTCTAATGTTTGGAAGACTGGAATCTTAATTATGTGTTGATGGGTAAAACTTGTTTTTCTGAAAAATTAAGTAACTGAGAATGCTGCTTCAGAATGTCACCTGTCTCTTTAGCTAACTTATTTATATTGCCATTCTTTATTAGTATACTTTAAAGGAAGTTGTCATACAAGTTCTATATTAGAACTGTCAAACTGCCTCCTCTCAGTTTTGTCCATTATAATTTCTTTATGACATTATTACTCTTAGGTTTTTATATGCTCCTTACAAAGATACTGTCACTGACTATCCTAAATTACTTGCTGCTTGCCATTGAAGTTTCATTTCAGCAACTGAAATACTGGTTTCGAAGTTAGAAAAAAAAAGACATGGTCCTTTATTTTGAAGAAATAGAACATGCAAAAAGTTTTTTAATTTGAAAAGAAGATACATGGTGGGTAAAATTTAAGTAGTATGTCATCATATTTGAAATGCCTTTTATGACATTTTTGAGTATTTTCTTCCCTGACTAAAACAGTCTGTTCCTCACACCATAGTCTACCATAAGTTTAAAAGCTGTTGTGGGTGGGTTGCATAGCTGAGCATCACAGAGCATGATGATAGTACATGGCTGCTATTTAAATAAGTATGTGACCTTGTCCTAAAGCTATAGTACCTCATGTTTTCAATGTATTATTGAAACTATAGCAGACTGGTATACAGACTAAGTGTTTGTTGATCTAAACCAGACATAACTCATTGACTTTTCTGAAACTAAGTTGTGTCAGAGATGAACCATCTGCTCAAGGAATCTTCTCAGTAACCAGACAGTGATGAAGCATATAATTCTAATGTTAGCAATAGGACATTGCTTAGTACATTTAACTGCAGTATTTTAACTACAGTAATTTTTCTGTTTATTTCTCTGCCTGCTTGGTAGAATTTGTGATTGAATTCCACCGTAGCCACCACAGTTTTTCACCACATTCCTAATGGTTTTCAACCTCTGTACTATAGTAGAAAATTCATCTAGCCATTGAATACAATTTTAGTACAATACCAGATCATAGTGTTGAGTTTTAGTTCCTGCCATTCTTGATTAAAAAATAAAAAGGTACTTTCCATTACCTGAGGGGAAAAAAGAAAAGAAAAACAAAAACAAAAAAAAAAAAGGAAAGTGAGAAAAAACCAAACTAAACAATAGTGGCTTTCTTGCAGTTAGCCAATTAAAACATTTAATATTCCCCCCATAAAGCCTTCAGTTTCTTTCAACCTTCTAATGGTTAATTGAAAGGAGTAAAAAGACTATCAAAATACTTATTGAAGTAATAGGTGGGGGGAAAAAGCTATGTCTTCAGGGACAGGAGAGTGATGAGAAATTATTTAGAAAATGTTATGCATTAAATTTAAATGCATTTGGATTTGATTTTTAAAGCTAATGAAGTTTTTCACATATCAAAGTAAAACATCTTCCATCAACAAAAATTTATCTTTAATTTTGTAGATATCAAGTAAGTATAGGTGATATTTATTTTATATATTCCTATGGAAAAAATGATACTTTTAATGTTCTGACATTTGTGATTACTTGCCAGTCTTTACTTTTTAACTTATTACGGTTTCTCTGTTTAAAAATGATAAATTATCTTTTGATTTTTAGGGAAATATCTAAATATGGGAAATTTCCAACCCAACCTTAATATTAGGTTGTGTTTTGTAGAGCTAAAGTTAACGCATTTTTGAATTTCTCAGGAGCACTACAAGGCAAAAAATACTCCAAATAAAAATGATATATGTAAGTTGGCAATGTCTTCATCCACAATAAAAAAAAATTTTTTTTAGCAAACAGCTGCTGACTTTTTCTTTAGAAGGGGGAGAAATGACTTACACATGTTGTTTATAGCAGCAGTTGATGAACTCAAATAGAAGCTAATGTCTTTAAGTGTTCACCAGATGTCTGCTGTTAGGCTACTCCTTGAGCCTTGGAAATTTTAAGTATTAACAATTTAAAAGATGCTGAAAATTATGAAAAGAAGATCTGAGAGGTTTTAGACAGCCTTCACCCCCCCCCAAGAGGGTATTATTATGCATCATTGGCCTTTTGGTATTTTTTGCACAATAATCAATATGTCTTCATTTTTTCTTAGATGTGGAGCTTGAGTATTTTTAACTGTACATAGGATGGCAGTATGGAAAGAAACATGGATTTTAAAGTTGACAGCTGGATTGGAGTACTGATTTTGACCCTTTCTGTATGACTTTTTTTTTTTTTTTTTTTTTTGGCTGGGGGAGACAGGGTCTTGCTCTGTTGCCTGGGCTAAAGTGTAGTTAGTGGTGGCACCATCATAGCTCACTGCAACCTCAAACTCCTGGGTCAAGCGATCCTCCTGCCTCAGCCTCCACGAGTAGCTGGTACTACAAGTATGCACCACTACACCCGGCTAATTTTTCTATTTTTTATAGAGATAGGCTTCTTACCATGTTGCTCAGGCTGGTCTTGAATGCTTGGGCTGGCCTCACCTCGAGTGATCTTCCTGCTGTGGCCTCCCCAAGTGTTAGGATTAGAGCTGTGAGCCACTAAGCCCAGCCCTATGTGACCTTTAACAAATTATTTTGATGATGGGCATCATTTTTCTCATCCCTGAAATAACATCCACCTAATAAACCTCATGGGTTTGTAAGTATCAAATGACACATTCATAATGTTTCTTAAATCATTAAATGTACCACTTGTGGAAATGCTTTTTAAAGTCCATAGTTGTAGATAGATGTTAAAAGTTGTGATTATTACTGCTAAAAGAGTGGATAAGAATGTCAGGGGCAGGAATGTTACTGAAGCCAAAGGTTCTTTCCAAAAGGTAAGGAGAGGTCAAAGGCATGAAGTGCTTACTGCTCAGAGGGCTGGTGAGGTGAGTTTTAAGAAGACTCTGATGAACGTACAGAGCAGAAGATGGTTGTTGGGAATGGTGAGAGCAAAGCCATATTGTCGAGTGGGCTAAGTGGGCGATGAGCACGTGGAGAGTTTGTAGGCAACTCTGCTGAGAAACCAGGTTGCAGTGGGGCTAGAGGGCATTAGGAGAAGAGAGTGGGATGGAGAGAGTGTTGCTCTAAGCTGAGTGGTAAGGACACAGCTAGAGGGACTGAGAAAGAGGAGAGAGAACTCCTGATCAGGGGAGACAGTGAGGATCAGAGCACAGATGGAGGAATTGGCCTTAGATGGGAAGGACTCCTTTATTGGGAAAGGAGTGTTGGAAGAGAGGGGAGATTCAGATAGCAGGTGGATTTGGGAGAAGGGAAATTATGGGAATTTTCCTCTGTGGTTGGAGGGAAGCTCCGCTGCTAGAAATGAGGGGTGTGGTGGCTGGGCTTGAGAAATTCACAGGTGAGAGACCGACAAGTGTCCAGGTTGCCATAAAAGTGTGAGCAATGGGAGGGGGCGGGTATATACATACATAATGAGTGAGATGTGCACCATCTGGGGGATGGTCATGCTGGAGACTCAGACTTGTTGGGGGGGGGAATGGGCATTTATTGAAACCTTAAAATCTGTACCCCCATAATATGCCGAAATAAAAAATAAATTAAAAAAATAAATATGATAAAAAAAAAAAAGTGTGAGCAATGCTTGTGAATGCAAGTGCTCATGGGTCTTGAGTTGGGCCTGGCAGAGTGATGAGGATGGGTTGTTGTTAAGCACATCTTGAAGGAAGTAACATTTGAGCACTTGTGAAGGAAGCAAGCTAGGAAATTAAATGTAAGATAAAAGTTAAACGGTTCTTGCCCTAACCAGTTCTAGTGGAATACAAAATATCTTCCTGTCCTTGGGACTTAGGTCATGTGAATAATGATATAGCTGAAGGTTTTACAGCATGTTATTGCCATAATTTAGTACATACAGTAAATGAATAATCCATTATAATTACAATAATATTTGTATTAGAGATAAAGAAAAATTCAAAAATGTTAATAATGGATCACTTAAGACAAATATTTGAACCTTTAGTTGGTTTTCTGCTTTGGCTCCTGAAGTGGACTCTTCCTGTGCATCGATGTCTTTTAGCCCTTTTGGGGTTAAGAAATTCATAATTTTCACTATAATGATATTTTAACTGTGATAATTTTCAGCTGTGACTTTTTACAAAAGTAATCTCAGCTCTAACATTCTTTGACTTCAGTAAACTATCTTTGACCCTCAAAAATCAAGTCTCAATGATTTGAAAATATTTGTGAACTTAATATAAATAAGTCTTTGGTAAAGTTGTTTTCTAGATATTCTTGTACTCCGTTAAAAATGTAAGCTACATTATTCCTTTTTGTAAAACATAAGGCATTTGGTATTGAGGGATGAATTTTCCTCCCACAATGTTGCATTGGTTCAGGCCCTCCTGGACCCGTGTGTAAATGGGTGTATGCTTATTCTAAGTGCATGTGTTTCCCAAAGGACAAAGTCCTCCACCCGCCATGTGAGAGGAGATGTGATTTATTTTTTTAAAGAATTGGAACAAAAATAATCCAAATTTGCCTCACATTTCCTCTTCAGCTCCTTCTATTTAGGTGTATTTAATGAACCCTGGTGTAATCTGAGAGTCAACACAGTAATCCATTTACTAAACGCATATTCAGGCTCCTTCTCTGGACAAAAAGGGAGGAGGAGTGATGGTGACAAAATTCCAAGTTCTAATGAGGTAATTTTTTATTTTTGAAAATTCATATGGAATGTTTAGTCTTTGAAAAATGTTTGAGTCATTTTAAAGTTTTTCTCCCTAAAACATTTCCATGCTATACACAAATTTACTATTAGGACAGTCTTAGATACATGCATCCAACCTATGCTGCTTTCTTCAGGATTGTGGTTGGCAACTTGTAGCTCCTGTGTTGAAAAACATGATGACGGTAAAAATCAATTCTTCATAGAATTGCTACTGGAGAAGTTAAGGCTTTCCTTTTTCTAAGTCTTTTCACTTTTTTTCCCCAGTGATCCGTATTACTTGCTGAAAAGAAATTTTACCCCTAGTGTCATCCTTTGTGTATGTGCATGTGTGTGTGTCAAATATTTAAAACATTTAAAAGGAAACAATTGGATATTAGGAGGGACATCTGGCTATGGTCGTGTAAAGAGGTCAGCCAATCCTTCCTGCAAAAAACAGATATAACACTAAAGTTGTCAAAAACAACCATGTTGGGGCTCTGGAAATTGACCAAAGGCTGACAAACTGAGAATTGTTTATTTTTTAAAAGCTTCTCAGCTTCAGGTTAGAACCACTGGAGTCTGTGGCCTTCCTACCTGGGGCTTCCCTCACCCCCTGCCCCTCCCTGCTTTTCTAGCCCTGAGCTGGTTATGAAAACCAGCAGCTTTGTCGCCAGAGGGGGTGGACTCGGTGGTGGAGGGTGAGGGCGGGTACAAAACCCATGATGTCAATTAGAAGTGGGAACTTGGAAGGACACAAATGGAGAAAACTCAGTTCTGCTGGCCGGAGGTTACAATTCCAGATGGGCAAGTGGCGGAGCAGCAGAAATTTAATGTGGAGATCCCGAAACTGAGTCATGGAAGGGCCCTGGCCGATGGGAAACCACTCAACCGGTGCACAGATCCCTCGGAGCCATGGGCGTGGATGGAAGGCTGGGGGCTGGAGGTCTTTACCCAGCATGGCCTCTGCTGAGCACCAGGAGCGACCTCTGGGAAGCTGGACTGAAAAATAAAAACAAAAATGTCAAACTAAGCAGACACATCAGCAGCCACACTCTCCTGTGGGGGAGAAAGATTCTGAAATTTAAATCCAATCAAGCTAGGCCGGGGGCGGTGGCTCACGCCTGTAATCCTAGCACTCTGGGAGGCAGAGGTGGGCGGATTGCTCGAGGTCAGGAGTTCGAAATCAGCCTGAGCAAGAGCGAGACCCCGTCTCTACTATAAATAGAAAGACACGAATTGGCCAACTAATATATATAGAAAAAATTAGCCGGGCATGGTGGCGCATGTCTGTAGTCCCAGCTACTCGGGAGGCTGAGGCAGGAGGATCGCTTGAGTCCAGGAGATTGAGGTTGCTGTGAGCTAGGCTGACGCCACAGCACTCACTCTAGCCTGGGCAACAAAGTGAGACTCTGTCTCAAAAAAAAAAAAAAATCCAATCATGCTGAAAGAAAATCAGAATCAATAATTGCTACAATATAATCTAATCATCCAGTTTTCAACCAGAAGTTGAGAGCAATGCAAAGAAGACAGACCCATACTCAGGAACAAAACCGTCCAAAGAAACTGTGTGGGCCTAGAGTTTGGATTTAACCCACAAAAACTTCAAAGTGGCAATTGTAAATGCAAAGAATTAAAGGAAAGTATGTTCAAAGATTACAGAATAAGATACTAAACACTTGCATACTTATTACCCGACTTTATCAAATCTTAACGTACCATATTTTCTAAATAACCAAAACCTTTTTATTAAAGGAAACTTTGAACATAGACACAAAAGTAGAATAAAATAACGAAGCTGCAGGGATGTGGGGCCTGGTGTTCTCTGATGCCCCCTCAGCCTACCTGGGGCTCCTACATCGGCCTAATCTCAACCCTCACCTGGGTGAACCCAGGTAGTTCCTTACTGCAGTTGTATCCTGTGATCCTCTCTACCTCCTGACTTCTGCCTCAAATGTATTTTCTTGGTTACCGAAAAGCTGTTCTGGTACCATAAAATTTATCTACTTATGACCTTAGAAAATCTTTCTTCCAGCAAAGCCTGTATTTCAAGATTGTCTCATTGTAGATTTAAAAAAGTCTAATGTGAAATGAAATTGTCATCGTCCTGCTGTCATAATTTCTCATCCTAAGCCAACTTCCAGTATAGCTTTACACTGGG